TTTTCATATTTTTTTACAAGTTCTCTTGTCTTTTATTAAAAAAGAGTAAGTAAAAGTAAGAGTAACTTATTAGAGTTTACCCTGTGAAGCATTTTTCCCCACATGCAATTTTCACAGAACTCCCCTATAAAGTATTTTTCAATCTGCTGAATACGAATCTGAGATCGGAAATTAGAATTTTTCAAAATTCAAGATAGCGGATCGAAATGCTCAAAATTAGTCTGATCTACATCAAATTGTGTATCCGAAGAGTTTTGGGCTCACTAATTACAAATCTGAAGTTGAAATCGAGAAATTCAAGATGGGGAACCCAATATGGTAAATCAAATTGTGAAAATTAAACCGATTTTCATCAAATTGTATCAGAGGATTTCTGGGACCGCTGATTACGAATCTGAAGTCGAAATTGAGAAATTCAAGATCACATCAAATTATGTATCCGAGGGTTTTTGGGATCGCTGATATGAATCGGTCTAATTTTTACAATTTGATTCCAATCGAATTGAGTCCGTCATTTTGAGTTTCTCAATTTCGACATCAGATTCGTAATCAACCACCCCTAAAACCCCCGGATACAAAGTTTGATGTGAATCGATCTAATTTTCACGATTTCGATCCGCCATATTGTATCCGGCATCTTGTATTTTTAAAAAATTACAATTCTGATCTCATATTCGTAATCAGCAGCCTCGAAAACCCCCGGAAGACAAATTTGAGAATATATTATCAGGGCGAAATCCTTAATTACGATATATTTTATGCAATCTATTTTTTTCAAAATTGGAACCGCCATATTAATATAAGTTTTAAAAATGTTGATATTTCGATTTCATTTTCGGAATCAGCGATGTCCAAAACCTTAGAATACATACTATCAGAAAAATAAGAAGTGAAGAAATATTTTTTTATTCAGTTCGACAAGGTGTGACTTATATGCCACACCATGCTTCAAACGATTAAATATGTGATTTCACCATCCGTCTCATCGATATGTGATACATGCAACTTCTCTTTCAATTATCTCGACTTTGATATGGTTAACTTTTTTTCATTATGTATAATTCAATAGGTGTGCGTAGATCGTACTTCCGCTAATATACTGATAGAATATACTGATAGAATACTGATAGAAATTAAAAAGATTTCTAAAAAAGATAGGTTTGTGGACCAACTACCTTAACGAGAATCTTGCTTCTTGTTTGCTCTCGACTCCGATATTTAAGCACCACTGTGTGTGTTCGTGTAGCTATTGTCCCAAGGGTGATTGCTTCGCGCAATATGTATGGAATTGTGATAGATACATCTCATGTGTGTATGCTGCGCGCATTGCGAATCGCTTTAACGGCAATCATGATTTCGCGTGTGGAACGTCTCGATTCACAGAGCCGGTGGCCCTGTGAAATTAACACGACAGATATCGATAACATGTCTCTGACGTCTCATCGTATTTAGCCTCCACTATAATTGTGACAATTATTGCTTTCTGCTCGACATCCGTACAAGCACCATTCCGCGCGAAAGCGTGTACTCGTAATATAGACGAGTATGTACAAACATTGTCGGGTAATTAAATTATTTCCCTTGATAACACAGAATTCACAAGTGTATTGATCAATACGTTGCTGTTGATATTCCCGTAGCCAGAGATTTCATATTTCACCTTCAATGTACGAGGGCAGTCTGAAAAGTTCTCGGCCTAACAATGAAAGAAAATTTCTTTTGCCGTGAAATATGTTTTATTTTTCAATATAATCTCCTGAGACTTCAATACATTTATTCCAACGTTTTTCCAATAATTCCATACCATCATTAAAGTGTGATTCCGGAAGATTCTTTTTGCTCTGGTGTATAGTGGTGGATCCAAGTTTCATCAACAGTTATGAAACGACGCTTGAAATCTATTTCATTTTGCTTAAAACGATCCAAACACGCTTGAGAAATATGCATTCGAATGTGTTTTTGGTCAATTGTTAGCAAATGCGGCACCCATCTTGCACAAAGCTTTTTTAACTGGTGCTACTACTCGAATGATTTGACAGATCGAATAAAATTTTACATGGGTTTATATCAGGGATGCCACTTTCCAATACAATTATAGTTTGACAGTTTTTAATGCCATATATGTGTCAGGTCGAGAACTTTTCAGCCTACGTATAATACCTTTGAGGAATACCTCGACCACTTTAACCAAATACGAACCCACATAGAAAATTTCTTAGGGTTTAATTGGGACCTGGACTCATTTTCCGAAATTTACGTAGGTTAGTCTTAAAAATTATTTATCAAAAAGTTATTAACGAATGCTTGAAAGAGCATAACAATTTTAGCATTAAAGGCTATATTTTGTATATAGAGACAGTATATAAGTAACGGGATGTTAAGTAACGGGTTAAAGCTGTTCCACACTACGGAAATCTAACCTAACTTAACCTAATCTATGTCATCAAATTAATATATATTATCAATAGAATGTACTAATATGTACTAATATGCGTAAAAAATATAAAGACATATGAGAAATATGTATGTTTCATTGTTCAATTTTTTCATATAAAGAATACATTGTAACATTGTAACATTGTAAAAAATGAATTTAAGTCTACTAAGTTAGGTTAGATGAGATCAGGTAACAAAGCCCTTTACCCTACACATGTACTAATACATGTACTAATACATATACTAATACATAAGAAATATAGCTTTTAATACTAAAATTAACTATTATGCTATTCAAATTTTTCTTTTGTTAATAACTGTTTAATAAACAATAAGCGATGCATCAAACTTTTTAAATGTTATTCGTGGGCAAGACCATGATAACATGTCAAGGTCAAATTCATCGGAGGTGGATTCGATAATGTGAACATTTATTTTCCAAACAAATCCAATATTTACTCTGTTTAGAGTGTTTTTCCAAATTATTTTTCGGTTTATATTTTATATTTATATTGAACAAAATGTGTGAAACACATTTTTTATTTTACATCAACATCTTTTTCTTCTTAAATGTAATAAGTGTAAAAATGAGAATTCTCGTTTGATATAAAAATATAGCATAAAAATATATCGATAATTATTGAAAAGACGCGCGAGTCCCACAGTACTATTGTTTCCATTCTAAACACAACAGCAGTATTTGAAATAAAAATAGAACTTCCGACCGATATTGTAATTAGATAACAATTTTTAGGCAAAGGAAGAGAGTTAATAAAGGCCTTTTTTTGTCTCCACAGAATTTTCAAGAAATAATTCTTCTTATTTCGTATGATTATTAGGAATATTAAAAATAATCATTAGATGAGAAAAAACTCGATCCACAAAGTCAAAATTAATCATCATTATAGAGGTTTTAACTTTTTTTTCTTTTTATTTTAATTTTTTTCTTTCACTTTTAATTTTTTTGGTTCAAGTTTTTTGTTTGTTTTTTATTATTTGTTTCGTTTTGGTAATTTTTGTTTTCTTTTTTTATTGAACATATTAAACATTACGATTGTGACTCCTAAACATCTTCTAATAATGATTGAAAAGGATTTTTTGTTTAAAATGACCTAATTATACAATTATATGACGATTATTGTGCTAGCTAGTGACAGGTTCAAGATTCAGAGTTCAAAATTTAATATATTCATATCTATCGCTAGATATAATAGCCGTCATATAATTGTAGATTAGGTTATTCTGAAAAATAATCCTTTATCATTTTGCAAATCAATACGTAAATTTTCAAGTTATCAATTAAAAGGGCCTCTAGATGTGGTCATTTTCAATCATTAACATAATCATTATCATAATCATAATAATATAATAATTATAATTATCATAGAAACTTAATAATTATTTTTGCAAAATATTTTTTTGCGATTTTTGCAAAATACTGCTTAACTTTTCTTCTCAGTTTGATCTGATTAATCTTTACAATTTTTCGTTTCCAAAAGATCTCGGACATCCTGCATATTATTAATTTTGGATCGAGTGTTTCCTCATCTAATTATTAGTGAGTTATTTTTCGTTATTTTTGACATTCCTAATGATTATACATTACAAAAAAAATTGTTTTTTAAAAATCCTAGAAAAGACCTAAAAAAAAACTATTATCCCTCCTTTGGAGATTTCAATCGAAATCTGTTGTATCTTAGGAACAATTTCTTTACGAAGGAATTTTTATACAGAAATACGCGAGAGGCGTTGTTTTGTGAATCCTTCTGCCAAACGAAGGGTTACACTTAAGGATACCGGATTTATCTATTCTTGACTGCGAGGGCAAGAGTGAGAGGAGGTAGAGAAGTAGAGGATGACTTATCGGTATTTTGACGTGGTCATTATTATTGATATACATATGAGCATTCGTCCGTGCATTGGATCGCGCAAAACCCCGTACGCCTCGTCGACATTATTTATAAGTGATTCGCGCGGCGCCATTTGAAGAAGTTTAGTCACGTATCGACGGTGTTACGTGTTATTTTATGCTGTCAGACATCGTAGTCGATTATATCTCGGCGAACGCGGTAATCCCAGGCACACCACGACGCACTAGCTGTCTGACATTTTGTTTGCCGATTTACTGTGCCCCCGCGCTCGCGGCGCGACGACGCGACGGATTAATGAGGCGGCAATGCTTTGATAAAAAAAAAAGAAAAAGAATCCCGCGAGCTTTATATAGAGGGACGTAAATATGTCGCGGGGCGCGCGACCACCGGAAGTTACTTCAGTCACTGTGTGTGCTGAAAAGGTTACATCACTCTTTAATTAGATGACGCTGCAATTTCCGCCGGCGAGCGTAAAAGCACCCAACGTTTAAACATCGAATTACACGTGCAACATATAACCCAACGAACTGCGACATTTTCCCTTGCACGACCTTTCCGTGTAATTTCTCCGCTTGAGAGGGCTGTTTTTCCTCTTTCCGGGAAATTGTTTCGAACGATTATCAGAAATCACAGCATCCATGAGAATCTGCGAGCGAAATGACTAAAGAGCCGCTTCTTTCCTCTCTTTTGCAGACGCGGTGCGATCGACGAAGAGTCACCCTCTTACTCCACGTCGGCGAAGGTAACGGTCTTGCCTTCCAGCGCGCAGCCGTCGACGGATGCACCAGCAGGCCCATCAAGGGTGTCGTCAGAGGAGAGTTCCGACAGCGGTGAGATCCAGGAGATCCGCAAGGACAGCGCGCTCTACCTTGAGGAGCCGGAGGGCCTGAACGGGAAGAAAGTCATACGGTCGCGGCCACCGGGTATCTTTCGGAAGGCCCGACGAGAGAGCAGCGGCTACGCGACCAGCGTGGGTAGTTTGGACGAGGAGAGGAAGGGCGGCGACGTGCAGCAGCAGCAGCAGGACTCGTCCCAGTCCCAGTCCCCGTCCCAGTCCCAGTCCCAATCGTTGAAGGAGAAGCGCAGGCTAATCACGAGGATACCCAGGGCGGAAGAGAGCCTTGGCGAGAAGGCGTCGATCGGCATATCGGAGAGGATGCCGACGACAGAGATACACAGGAAGGTGTCGAGCGCCGGCCTCGATATGCCCGACATCGAGGAGGTGAAGGAGGTCCTGAGGGAAGAGACCTCGCCTCGTCAGAATCTTAGTAGGGACGCGGAGACGGCGGTAGCCGGTAAGTAAACCGCGTCACACTATCCAGCGATTCCGGTGCCGTCCCGACGTTATGTTTGATATTGCCGTAATAAAGCGCAGATTCCCAAAATTGGACGGCGACCCTTGAGGAGAACAGGGGGGATAGACGGGTAATGGAAGGGTTCCCCTGCGGAGAAACGTATCTCGAGCGAGAACATTCGTGAGCCCCGATACACGGCACGTCACAATAATCGTTTAATGATCGCAAAAATCGCTGTCCCATGCTACACTTACACCGTATATGTATAAATATAATATGTATAGGTAACGTTTGCTCCCCCTTTTCCACGGAGAATCACGACGGCGAGTTGTCTCGAATGTTTTCTCCACAGCTAGTTTCGCTAGATTTTATCAACGTTGTCTATAATGCCTGTGAACTGCGAACATTTTACATCTAACTGCCACTATGAGCGAGAAAGAAGGAGAAGGGGAAAAGAGAGAGAGAGAGAGAGAGAGAGAGAGAGAGAGAGAGAAAGAGAGAGAAAGAAAAGGGAGAGAAAGAGAGAACGAGTGAGAGAGAGAGAGAGAGAGAGGGAAAGAGGTCAAAGTTAAAGCCAGATTGAAACAAAGCGAAAACTAAATAGATCCGTTAGGAGAAATAGAAATAACGACGGAGTTTCCTAAGTTTTTCCTTTTATGTGCCCGTAACCAGACTACTTATCAGCGCAGTCTCTGCTCCCGAGGGAGGCAGCTAATCAGACGCTCGCTGTGAAAAGCGACGTCGCCTCCGGCGTCGTTTCTTCGTCGACATCCCACGACGGCCTCCCGAAGGAGTTACTCAACACCGGCAGTCTGAAGGAAGCGCTCCACCGTATCTCCTGCGAAACGAACCGCAGGCTGGACACATCGGCCGTCAGTCCGGGAAGCGACGGCAAGATCCGGCGGGAGGTATCACCGATAGAATCCCGCAAGGATCCATCGTGCTCCGTAGAGCGTGCGACTGCCGAGATCGTACAGAGGAAGAATGAGAAGGTGGCGTGCGCTAACAACGACATTCTGCCGAGAAGCGTCGAAGCATCCAAAGGAGAAAATGTGCCCGTTGCCTTCACATCGTCGTCATCGTCGTCGTCGTCGTTATCATCATCGCCGTCCACTAAGACGTCGGTCAAGGTGTACCAGCTGCTGGCGACCCAGTCGGAGGATCGCGGCGATGGCGAGTCGCACCTACCGGATCGCAGGATATCCCTACAAATCGCCAGCTCACGAGAGGCGGAGGTGTCGTTGACGAGCAACAACAACGTGACCACGGGGTCGTTCGTGAGGAACAGAAAGTGCGAGGACGCGAGAAGTAGTCCGGCCACGAAAACGTTGTCATCTAGTGAAAGCGGGTCGCAACGGTACCTCGGAGACGCTGGCAACGTCACCGTCAGGCCCATCTATCCTTACTGCCCGTATTCGCCCTATGGCAGCCCTCAAAGCTCGCCTAGGAATCGCAAGAGGCCTCTTAGGGAGAGCAGAAGAGTATCCATCGATAACCGGCAAGGCGATATTAAGCTGAATCAATACAAACTGTTGGATGACATCGGACAGGTGAGATTGCCCGACGAAAAATATCTACCAAAATCTATCAAAAATATCTACTGGTATATATGATAATATATGAATTTGGCCTCTATATAACCAAATATGTGGCCCATATAACTCTTCATAATTCGATATTCTGGAAACTACTTCATCGATTTTAAAGGTTTAAGTCTCGAGTTATATGGATCTGAAGAGCCTTTAAGTTAGAATGCTCTCGAGTATTCAGGTTACTGAAGTACACACCTTCGCGTATCTTTCAGACTGAGAAAATTTCCACAAACAATCGAATTGAACTTAATGAATGTGCAGTATGACAATGTTCATTTCTGTTTCTTCTGAAGGATAAAGTTATGTTTAAACCGCTAACAATGAGAGAGAATATGAAGCGAAGGATATACGACGCTTGCAGTAACTCCTGAAATGTTATCAAATGCAAATAATGCAAATAAATAAATGAATGTTTATAGATTCATGGTGGACATTCTGAGAATTTGATAAATCGAATAAATCAAAGTAAAATCTTAAGATTTTGATTTTATGTGATTATTTATATTCATATAACTATTAACGGGTTGCATTAATTCATACCGCTTTTTTGCTTGGAATATTTATTATTTTCATAATATGTTACTATGGGACATCAAAGTAATTGCCATTGTTTTTTTCATCTTTCTGGTAAAAGCTGGATCCCTCATCGAAAGAAGGACCTGTCTTTTGAGGCTACCCAATCATCGGAGGTCTTTTGAGGCGATCCACTTTCGGAGTTCCTCGAGCTTGACGAAGTGCGTATCTTCCAAGGCGTGTTGCATAGAGCAGGTGAAAATAAGGAACAAGATCGAGGGAATATGCGGGAGAACTTCCCATTCCAGACCTATCAGTGCTTCTTTAACCGTTCTTTCCATGTGCGGTCTAGCGTTGTCATGTTGTAGGATCACTTTCTACCTATTACTGGCTACTGACAGCTTTTTTGCAACAATTCATCGTTCAATCGCTCCAGTTGGCGTTGATAAAGTGTGGTATTTATCGCTTCATTGGGATTCAGAAACTCATGATACACTACGCCTTCCATATCCCACTAAATGCATAGCATTATCTTCTTTCTGTGAATATGCCGCTTTGGTATTGATGTCGAAGGTTGACCGAGATCCACCTATGGGTTCCTCCGTTTCGGACTAGTACATCCACTTTTCGTCCTTAGTCACAATACGCCGTAAAAAGTCTTCTTCCTATGTTTAGCAAGCAAGAAAATGCAAAAGTTCAAGTGATTCAACTTTAAGCTTCCTGACAATTGATGAAGCATCCATTTTCTTTCTTCGTAAATTTTCTCTAAGACATGTAGCCGCTTCGAAACAGTTAATTTGTCGACTTCGATGGCTACTGACAATTCTTTATGCGTCTATGCATAAATTGGATTTTCATCCAATAACTCCTGCAATTTCGACGAAGATGTCGTCAAATTTTTTCTGCTGCCCTGAGCATTTCTTGAACTTCAATATCACCTCCTTTGAAACGTTGCATCTACTTTCTACATGTTCTTTCCGAAGGAGCAGCTTCGCTACAAATGTCCAGAACTAATTGATAAGCTTCAGCTGCACTTTTTTTCAAAGTAATGAAGAAGTACATGTCGGAGAAACATTTTATCGTTCTATATTCGCTTCACTCTTCAACAATTTTTTGTGTACACAGCAACGACCTGTGTTGACTGGATGTTGTTTACAAATGACGAAATGTATAACCTCTAAAACCTAACAGCTACGGCATGAACTAAAGTAACATTCAGAACCATCTGTTCTCAGCGACACGAATTAATGAAATCTCTTAATATAAGCCGAAACCTCATACCATCATATCTTTTAACAGATATATCTGGTAAAAAGTGTTTGTTGATAAAACTAAGTTAGTTTAACTCATAAAATCCAAAAATATAATTTTGCATAGGGGTTCCCATAAAATTTTAAAGTGAACTTCTGTCTTATCCATATACCGGGATTGAGAAACTAACCTCCATTTTGCAGGCTCTAGTTTGAAGGCCCTTAAGATCCCTACAATACATACCTAAACCTTTAAAATCGATGAAACAGTTTTAAAATATCAAATTGTCAAGAATTATATGGACTACTTTATAAAGGGTATCCCAAAATTCACGCAAGAAGTAATTTTGATAGAAAACATAGGTTTATAATTAAAAATTGTGAATTTTTTATTGATTCATAAAGTATACAGTATAGGGTTATGTATGGAATAGTATATCGGATAAATGGCCTCCACGGCTTTGTTGGCACATATGCACTCTTTTGTTGAAATTTTCCATGACCGTTTTGCAATGTGGCTGAATTTCGTTGATACAGCGCTCAATTTCCTCCTTCAAGGCGTGGATGGTCGTGGGCTTGTTGGCATAAACCTTAGACTTTAAAAAACCCCAAAGAAAAAAATCCAACGGCGTTAAATCGCATGATCTGGGCGGCCAAATCTGATCACCAAAACAGGAAATTACACGACCAGGAAATGACTCATGCAGTAATTGAATTGTTTCTCGGGCTGTATGGCATATGGCACCGTCTTGTTGAAATCACATGTCATCCACACCCATATCTTGCAATTTAGGCACAAAAAATTGGATTATCATGTCGCGATAGCGAACACCATTAACTATTATTGCCTGACCAGCCGCATTTTCGAAGAAGAATGGTCCGATGATGCCTCCAGCGTAAAATCCGCACCAAACAGTGACACGTTATGGATGCATTTGTTTCTCAACAATCACTCGTGGATTTTCTGAACCCCAAATGCAACAATTTTGTCGATTAACCAAGCCATCAAGATGAAAATGAGCCTTATCGCTGAAGATGATTTTGTTCGCCATACTTTCATTATTTTTAAAATATTGTTCAACAATGAAAACGCGTTGTTCTTTCATGTAGCACTCCATTTAAAAAACCCTGAACTGTCAGCTGTCTTTTTCTTTCGTTGACAACACTTTACCGCACAAATGGCGCAAAATTCAAATCTTGCATGAATTTTGGAATACCCTTTATAATCATGTATTGTATACGTCCACACAGGAAAAATGCTGCTGTACAAATACTTAATTAAATTAATTGTTTGTGTTTACAGCCAGTGATATAAATTTATGGTTGAACAAAATCATTCTTCCTTTCTTTATTTAAAGGCATTTCCTCCAGTGTGGATATATCTAATTTCATATGATTATACACATGACTATGTAGAGACATAATTCATATGGATCATATGTACTAATTGTTATATGGATCATATATACTAATTGTATGTAATTATGTATAATTATATACAATTCTATATAAATATATACATAATCAATTTTAGTCAGGTGAGCTTAAAATTCAAAGGAAAAAGATATTATTTCCGCGCCTACTAGATCTCCCTGCGTTTATTTTGTGCTGCATGACTGCGAATTCTTTATGTCTATTGTGTCCAACTGATTTTATCATCTACAAGAAATAATATCGCTTCAATTTTTCGAGTTCAGGAATAATTAATATCGAATTTGTCAAACGAGACACAAATGGAAAACGGTGTGGAGTATTCGAGAAAATATATTATTATATAATATTACGTATTATTAAGAAAATAAATAAATAAGATATAAACTTGAAAAGCAAGACAATTTCGTGAAAAATCATAAAATCCAACGAAATAATTTCTCGAAATACAATTTTACCGAAATATTGAAAATGTCTCGCTATACAGCCGGATGCATTAATAAAGTTCATTCGGCTGCAACAAAAATATATTCCAATAGGTAGATATTTATACATTCATGTGTAAATCCATCCTGTTTTTAGTATATTTCAGAAATATTGTGTCTCGGAATGTTGTTTTAACTTTTAGATTTTGCTATTATAACTTTTCAAGAAATTGCCCTAATTACCGAATTTCAAGGTTTTGATTTTTCGTTGCAATAAATACCTACCGCACATTTAAAACTCATCAATATGCAAGGTGTTTGAAATGATTCAGGACTTTAAGAACAGATAGTACACATAAAATGGAAGAAGAGTCCTAATAAACATAAATCAAAAAATTAATATTGTCATGAACAGTTCGGTAAAATTGTATTTCGAGAAATTATTTCGTTGGATTTCATGATTTTTCACGAAATTATCTTGCTTTTCAAGTTTACATTTTATTTATTTATTTTCTTAATAATAATATTATAATGTATTTTCTCGAATACTCCACACCGTTTTCCATATGAACAGTTATTTATTTTAATTAAAGCTAGTAACCTGCTCGCTTCTGGTACGTTTGTATTCTCTGATGTAAATTTTCCATGTTATTTATCGGTGAAAAGAGTACTATACTTTAAGGAAATCCGTTAAAAAAGTCTCTTCACCATTGCTCAGAATGTAAACAAACATCTATTTTCTTCCCATTTATACGCACGCTTCACCAAACAATTGTTAGTCACATATCTTTGTGAACAGTAAACAGTTGCAGAGAGCTACCACAAAGTTTTCGTAGCACGGTAAGAATGACACATCGTATTACTGTAATCAAGAAATGGCAGAAATGCATATCATGCGCCTGAAGCGATTAAGTTACTTGCTTTAGTTAAGATAAATAATTGTCCATAACTCCAACAATATTAATTTTTCGACCATGTTTATTTGGACTTTTTTCCTCCGTTTTGACTACCTGCCCTTAAAGCCCTGACCCCTTTTTTTTAATACCTTGTATCGCTCATTTAACATTTACTGCATAACGAACGACACGAGACCTCAATTATCACAACCACGAACAGACGCACGAAACCCACGCACTCGATAAACTCGACAACAAGCGGCGATTAGGTTCTGCAAATAGATAATCCCTTTGGCGGGCTCCGGACAGGAACTATCGGCTGGAATATCTTGCGCTGGACCAATTTCGTAGGCGCATAGTTTACGTATCGGACGGCGGAAAACTTTCCAATTACGCCTGCGGTGTTTTAACAATTGCGCACCGCACACTCGACAAGGTCGGCC